TTTTAATATCCTTTACAGTAAAGAGAGTTTTACACAGTTTACAGATGTATATTTGTTCAAATATATTACACGCACGTATACACACATAGATTAAAATACCATAATTATCATTATAAATGTGACTTAGAGAATACAAGTAGTAAGACTGGTGCAACGTTTCGTTACCAGAGTTAGTCAGACATTCTTATGTTTATATGTAGGTACATACATATACACAATAATGGCCTCGGATTACTTAATACAGATACGTTTGTATACCCTTGCAAAATATTTAGAGCCATAACAAAAATAATAAAAAGTTATTTGTTTTATGTTTTTATTCTTAGTAAATGAATACGCATTAAAAGTATTTATTTTACTTTATTGTTCCACTCTGTTTATTATGTAAATACATTTCCGGTTGCTTTCAACGCAATATATGTATCCTACCATGAGACATTCCATTATAATTATAATTTTTTTTTGTAAAATTCGACTGGCCGAACTTTCTGCTTTTCTGTATATGAACAATAAAAATTATCAATTCTTATATATAGTATATATTTATTAACTTCGAATTCGTTTTGAAGTTAGTTGTTTTTATTAGAGCATTTTGCGCGATATGTGAATGGTTAAGCCTTAATGGGCTGCTCAAAAACAGCATCTCCGGATTCCTGTTCTGAAAATAAAATAAATAATCCATTCCCTTTTTAGTGTACAAAAATTACAGAAATTTAATTTTTAATTTCCAGATTTTATTTACTTTTAACTTATTTTCAAAATTAAAAAAAAATTTGAAGTCCATACAAAAATTTTATTTTGTACATTTATCGATTGAACTCAGATACACTGGTAATAATTTACCCCATTAACGTGATCATAATACCGATAACTAATCGTGGAACAGGTCATGGTTTATATTACCACAATTTCATACAAACAGTTCTGCTTTTAAATCCCCAGTGTTTTAAGTTTATGCAACATGTTTAAAAACATTTAGAACATTTATAAAAAACTCAATACATTTATTTGAGTAAATGCTTTGAGGCCTACTTTTATTTTATAATAAAACGAAAAAGTTATCTCCGATGAAGTTGGTTAAAATCAGAGAGGAATATAACACAAAGATATGCCAATTTCTAATTCTATTATGGATGGTTCCGACTATTTACTGCAAATTTACAGCCTGGAATTACAAAATATTTAAGATGTTTTAAGATGAATCCGTATTGTCATTTTCAATTTGTGTATTTCAAATTTTTTTTAAAAGATTGAGAATTGAAATTTATTAGCTTGGAAATAGCAGAACAATTTTCTATTTTTTCTTTGGTAGTTGTGGCATGTGCCATGTTTTGAATAAAAAAAGTGTTAAAGAATAATCTTTACATGGGGGCCTATATAGGTCTTTTTGTAAAACAATGTTTTGTAAAACAGGCTAGGTTATCCAAAAATCTCAGATTCAGTCTTCCGAATACCAGTCACATTTGAAGTCTTCTTTATACATTTTTATTTTATTTTTACTTTCATCCGGAATCTGGCCGAACACAAAAATTAACTTTTTAGTAAAAACGTAAATTGTTAGCCTTAGATCAAGCGTAAAAAAAGATTTGGTCAGGAATTACATATTGCCTTACCATTTCCGTTTAATGATTGATGTGGATTTACGTCGATGCAACCTAGTCGCTGAGTTTATCTTACGCACCTGTAGAAGATAATGTCATATCTTTTTCGGGGGGTTGCCGACTCTTTTGTACAGATATTATATGAATTCACAAAGCAGTTTTTAATTGTATAAAATCCTCGTCTATATCCTGCATCCATTACGTATGGTCTCTGATATTATAAGATAAAAATAAAAAGCCAAAGCAAAATGTTGAAAAAATATAGACATACATATGGGCCTCAAACGTTCGTTCGTTCGTTCTGTTTAGTTTAAAACAAAAAATTGAAAAATTTCATTTCCTCCTTGTTTTTTTGAAATGAAGGATTTCATTGAGCATAACAACAAGCATGTGGTCGGGAGTTTACGCCAAATGATGTATATCGACTTTATCTGGTTATAAAAGGGCTAGTATTTCTCAAAGAGATAGTCTCTAAAAAAAATTTAATTTTCTCGAGCTTCCATGTTAGAGTAACCACTAAAATCAAGCCTAACTCTCTGCTAAGTCTTTTTCAGCTTGATAAGAAGACATCTCATTTTAAAAGCCAGATTTCAGCTGCTTTTATCAAAGAAAGGAATTTTGACTATTTACACAACCAACTATCTATATTTATACCCGTTACTCGTAGAGTAAAAGGGTATATTGTATTCGTGCAAAAGTATGTAACAGCTAGAAGGAAGAGTTTCCGACCCTATAAAGTATATATATTCTTGCTCAGGGTCACTAGCCGAGTCGATATAGCCATGTCCGTCTGTCCGTCTGTCCGTCTGTCCGTCTGTCTGTCCGTCCGTATGAACGCTGAGATCTCGGAAACTATAAAAGGTAGAAGATTGGCATTTTGCATGCAGATTCTAGGAGTTCCTACGCAGCGCAAGTTTGTTTCAAAAAGATGCCACGCCCCCTTTAACGCCCACAATCGCTTATATACGATTTTAAAAATTTAAATATTTCGGAAAAGTAAAAATGCAGTTTTATTGTGTTTATCAATACCTATCGAAATGTAGAAGAAATTTTTCAAATCGGACCATTCGTTAAAAAGTTATGCGTGATCAAAGTTTCTATCTCCATCTCCCTCGCACTTCCTTTACCTGAGTAACGGGTATCTGATAGTCGGGGATCCCGACTATAGCGTTCTCTCTTGTTTTATTTCGGTTGAAAGAGATTTTCTTACAAAATCCGTAATTCGTTTTTTTGGTTGGCTATGACTCATGTCACGAGCGTACGGTTTTTCCCTTGCCTTTAAATGATTTTTTTATTCTAATTTGGAAGTGCAATATGTAAAACAAACATATTAAAATGCATTCCATAATATCATTCTTATGGTGAAGTATATAAAAAACTATTCTCATAAAAAAAATTGCAAGAAATATATTTATAAAAATATATATTTATCGCTGACTTTAGTTTATAATTTTTGAAAAAGTTTGAGAGGAAAATTCGTCTAACTCACTTTTGAGATTTTTTCCTGGTTGACCTTTTTTTTTTGAAATGCCCATATTTAAATGAGCATATGTGCCTTTTTTGGTAAAAAATATTTCTGTAGATTGTGTAATTGAATTTTAAACTAACATCGATTTCGTGCTAAGTAACACATATTGTTGTTTTTTTGTGTGGCTGATAATCTATTTTTAAAATAAGAAATCAGAAACTGAGCTGTTTTTTTATATAAACTATCACCTAGCATTAAGTGATGTATAAACTGGCATGAACTGTGATATAAAATGTTTAACGACATTCAAAAAATTATAGTGGAACTTCTTCTTTTAACATATTGATTAACATATTTGTTTTTTTCATGTATTGAAAGTCGATTAAATTGTGATTTTGACCAATAATAGTAAACTTACTTTATAGTGTTTAGTAATATATATGAATTTAATGGGAAAAATGAAAACTTTTTTATAGTGCCGTTAATTATATAAAAAAACAAGAAATGAAAGCTAACTTCGGGCGGAGCCGAAGTTGATATACCCTTGCAGAATACTCTGTAAATTATATTCTCCAAAATTATTCATATGATGCATTCTTAATACTCATCAAAAATCCCAACTTCCTAACTTTAAAAACACCAAAGTTATGGCATTTCCAATCGTTCAGTTATATGGCAGCTATAGGATATAGTCGGCCGATCCTTATGAAATTTGATAGGTCGGATTGATTGGCCAAAAATAAAGCCCATAGAAAATCCCAACTTCCTAACTTAACAAACACCAAAGTTATGACATTTCCGATTAATCAGTTATATGGCAGCTAAAGGATATAGTCGGCCGATCCTTATGAAATGAAAGCTAACTTCGGGCGGAGCCGAAGTTGATATACCCTTGCAGAATACTCTGTAAATTATATTCTCCAAAATTATTCATATGATGCATTCTTAATACTCATCAAAAATCCCAACTTCCTAACTTTAAAAACACCAAAGTTATGGCATTTCCAATCGTTCAGTTATATGGCAGCTATAGGATATAGTCGGCCGATCCTTATGAAATTTGATAGGTCGGATTGATTGACCAAATATAAAACCCATAGGAAATCCCAGCTTCCTAACTTTACAAACACCAAAGTTATGTTATTTCCGATCAATCAGTTATATGGCAGCTATAGGATATAGTCGGCCGATCCCGGCCGTTCCGACATATATACTGCGTGCAAAGGAAAGAAGGGTGTGTGCAAAGTTTGAACTCGATAGCTTTAAAACTGAGAGACTAGTTTGCGTAGAAACAGACAGACGGACAGACGGACGGACGGACAGACGGACAGACGGACAGACGGACATGGCTATATCAACTCAGGAAATGATCCTGATCAAGAATATATATACTTTATATGGTCGGAGATGTCTCCTTCACTGCGTTGCACACTTTTGACCAAAATTATAATACCCTCTGCAAGGGTATAATAACATTATCGAAGTCAAATAAAATCTTTAAAATTCCCCCATATTAATTTTATTGGCTTAGAATTCGTTATTTTGGTTAAATTCAATGTTAAATATCACTGGCGATGGAAATGAGTACTTTGTTCAAAATAATTAATTGAATTTGCATATATTGATTTGCACAAATCCGGGCAACAATATTATGGTCAAGAAGCATCGCGATGCCTTAATTTAATTTAATAAATATTTGGATCGAAAAAATGACATTTCCGCGATGGGTGGCAAATAAATAATATTTAATAAAATTTTTAACGTTATTTCCATTTTCAAAATTTTAATTTTACCAGGTCAGCTTTTTTGTAATATAATATTTGATTAATGTTTGACCTTTAACTTTGCAATGGGTAGTTAGAGGTTGTATTCATTTACATAGTATCCGCATATAAAAAACCATTTAATAATACTTTTTAAATGAATAAATATTTGCAAGGGTATGTAATCCTCGGCTTTCCGAATTTATATTTCAATTGATTACACATAATTTTATTGGGATATCGATTTGGTGGGAATTTTTTTTTTGTGCATATTTAAATATTTTAATTTGGAATTGCCAACCTAAGTTGGTTCAAATTCTGATTCTGGTTATGGTGTGATCTTAAACCGCCATAGCTTTTGCGCGATTTAGTAAATATGTACATACACTATTAAACTATGATTATTATGCATTCATTAATATCAAATCTTCATTTATACATACATACACAAATACACGAAATATATATTCTAAAACATTTACGTACTACAATTGTATTATCTTAATATCATAAGTAACTTCCATAATAGCGATAAATTGACCAGATGAAATATCAACTATTTATCATTTCTCTATCGACTTTTTTAATGTTAAAAAATAAAGAAATCATTTTAATATTAAAAAAATGTTAGAGAACAATTTGATTTTTATTGATAGTAATATACATTAGTACAATGAATAAACATTTTTACAGAAATTGAAATAAGGCTTTTATTTATAAATAATTCTTAGATATAGCATAAAAAAATAATGCATATGAAACAAAAATTGTAATATTACAAATACAAATAAAATAATTACGTTTAAAAAAGTCAATAAAATAAGCTGCAAAACATTTGAACTGCACTCCGGTTTAATGCCATTTTAGTATCATTCCGTTTTATATAGATAGGCTCGGTAGCCAGTTTGTTATTACTATTAGAAACGTTTTAAATCACGTGATCAAAGATTTCTTATATTGGAGCTGGAATATCATCGATTAAATAATTAAGAGTGTTGAAATTTGCTTTAATAGATCACGATACTGTTCTTTAAGTTCTGTAGGGTTTTAACAGCTTTTTCTTGCGATTAAAAATCACGTGAACTGTAATTATTTTGTCGGAATCAGTTTGTATTGCTCACAGCACAATTCGGATAATTTAAAAAAAAGCTACCATAGATGAAGGGAACAACTAAAGTCTTTTTCAGAATTGAAATATTTTCGTAACAGGGGACAGAGAGCCCGGGTACCTTATAATTGAGCACTGAACTTATTGCGTTTGTTCTCCTTTTTTTTTATAAGTCACTCTCAGTATTACATTTGTTTAATTTATATCTTTTGATCGCGTTTTAAAGAAATCAATAAAAACAAAACACATATCAATCAGTATTGTCTATTATTTCTGTAAAAATATCACAAAGCATAAAAAACTTGCAAACATTTTACAAGCCCGAGGACCAAGTAAAATGGTGTTCGAGACGTTTGTGTGTGTATTACGTGTTGGTTTACAATATCTTTTGAACTTATATAAGAGATGACCGACATTGCGTTTTCGTTAATGCACATATAATTTTGAACCTTCTTCTTAACTTCGACATTAATTTTTTGTGAAGATTAAATCACAGAAATTGAACGAATGTCGTGCTATTAGGAATGTGACTTAGTACCATAAACTGCAGATAAAAAAAGCAATACATGAATATCCTTAATTTTCAACATAGGTTTGCAACTGTATAAATATAAGTCATTCACTTTATATTAAGTTAAAATTAAAGTCAGTCGATTTTTTATTTAGATTACTTTATCTTGAATGTTTAATCTTACATTAGTATACTTATATCAAATACATACATACATACATACAATACCATTATATTAAGCATTACATGAGCAAATACGACATTTACAAATGATTTTTATAATCTGAAAAAAAAGAATTTTTTTGAATTATTATTCGATGACTTTCTTAAGAGAATATTTTTTTAAAGTAATATTTAGTAATAGTTTTAAGTGTTCGGTAATTTAAACAAACCATCTGTCTGGTATTTTATTTTTAATACCGTGTTGTAAGCCTAGAGTAATTTGGAAAATGTTTTCAGACTACAAACTAGTCATCAACGATAGTACCAATAGTGGGCCTTATATCTGACATCTATATTAATACCATAGGGCCATATAAACTTTCAGAAAGTTAATAAAAACAAAAAAGGAAAGCTAACTTCGGGCGGAGCCGAAGTTGATATACCCTTGCAGAATATTCTGTAAATTATATTGGTTGGCCAAAAATAAAACCAATAAAAATCCCAACTTCCTAACTTTAAAAACACCAAAGCGATGGCATTTCCGATCGTTCAGTTATATGGCAGCTATATGATATAGTCGCCCGATCCGGCTCGTTCCGACTTATATACTACCTGCAATAGAAAGACAACTTTTGGTAAAGTTTCAAGCAAATAGCTTTAAAACTGAGGGACTAGTTTGCGTAGAAACGGACGGACGGACGGACGGACATGGCTAGATCGACTCTCCTGGTGATCCTGATCAAGAATATATATACTTTATAGGGTCGGAAATGTCTCCTTCACTGCGTTGCAAACTTTTGACTGAAATTATAATACCCTCTATAAGGGTATAAAAACAGCAAAAAAAAATACCCTTGTTCTTTAAATACATCAAATTTAACATATTTCAAATTTCCCATGGCAGCTATGGGGTCAGCGGCATGACTATTTTAGCACGCATAGCGATATTGATTAAAGGTATATACATTTTATAGGGTCGAGCCAATAATGATAAAAAGTATATAAATTTTATAGGGTCGAACCGGGTATATTGGAACCATTGAAAAAGAAATTTAAGCAAATAATAAGTTTTTTGTTTTATAGATATACTCCGAGATATAGTCATTTTAAGCAATTTTAGAATTTTAGTTTAAAATCGGTTGACTGTAACAGATAACTGCCATATGAACGATCAAAATATATATCGAACAAGAAAGGAAGCAAACTTGGGCAAGCCGAAGTTTATATACCCTTGCAGTTATTACAAAACGTACATTTCGATTTCTATGCCTATATTACCCAAAACAATGGAGCTATGTCGATTTTACGCTGCATTTTGCCATCACTTCTATGGCGGCTATATATTGTTGTTCGATTTTAATTTAATTAAAACCGTAATTCCATAATATTTAAATTATACCAAATCCCAAAGAAAAAAAAAAAAAAAAAAAAAAAGTTATTGTGCCTATGGGAGCTATATGATATAGTCGCCCGATCCGGCTGGTTCCGTAGTAATACGGAATAGAAAGACAACTTTTGGGAAAGTTTTAAGTAGATAGCTTTAAAACGGAAAGACTAGTTTGCGTAGAAACGGACGGACGGACAGACGGACAAACGGACGGACAGACGGACATGACTAGATCGACTCTCCTGGTGATGCTGATCAAGAATATATATACTTTATAGGGTCGGAAATGTCTCCTTCACTGCGTTGCAAACTTTTGACTGAAATTATAATACCCTCTGCAAGGGTATAAAAACAAGTTTGATCGTCCATAAGCTTTAAAAAATGCAGTTTCACGTAGTAAATTCAAGTAAATGTTTGGGTCGTCAATAAATATGTTTAAAATGAATTTTGAGTTTTTCATAAATATTATAATTAAATTAAATTTAAACATGATAAAATTTACGTACAGCTTTAAGCAAGAATGTTTACATTCGAAATAAATACATTTCAGTGGCTGGTATATGAAGACATTCCTGTTTAATGAACCATGGTTTTATCAACTAGATGCTTATATGTAGCTCACTTTTTGTATTTTATTTGTCAGCTTGATAGGTTAGAGACACTTCTTATTCTGCCGACATTATGTTGTGAACTTGCTCCAATTTAAAAGCCAATCGCTGCTTTTGCGAAAATTCATCCTCTTCAAGTGTAACTGTAAGCTGCTCATTGTACTTTACAGCATATGTGTATAGCTCATGGAGAGCACAATTTGTATTAAATTCAGTTGTGTGAAGCTGAAATTAAAGAATAAGAAATCATATATTTCATAAAATATATTCAAGTCATATTTGGGACTAACCCTTGATTCTTCTGCAAGCATGGCATTCATGTCCTGATCTGATATTGGGGACATATCGCGAATGTCTCTATAATAGCGATCTACCCATTTGCGATACTCTGGTATATCTTTTGCATATAGCAGTTTCGAGCTTGGTGAGTCCTTACCTGAAATAATAATTTTACAGTCAAAAAATTTTAATTGAGCATTACCCTACTTACCCAAACGGTGATCAGAAGTTGAACAAGAGTCCATAAATGTTTGAGCTACAACTGACAAGCAGGAATCCACTATGTTCGACTTATGTATGTCAAAGACAAAATTGGGATTTTTTATTAAGTTTACCCAAAATCTAAAAATTAAATAAAACCCTTATTATTATTATTGTTTAGCTAAAAACTAAACATACTAACCGCAATGGTAAGCTATTACTTTTCCAAGTATGCACAACCTCTGGATCAGTTATCCCATGCAACTGAGCTTGATCGTCTAGAAAGTCAAACATGTATTTTATAGCTAATGGCAGTGCCGATCCACGATGAGCGGTGCTAAATATCGTTTCAAAGAGATCATCTACGAATTTCTGAAGTGTGCCTTTAGTAGACAATAGTCTGGTTAAGTATATCTCAGATACTAATTTGTTAACCCGTTCCCCTTCTTTCTGCATATCACTATCATGGTGTTTCACTAGATGCCAGTATCTTAGACCGTTATCATGCATATCATTATTAAGAGGGCTGCCGGCGCGGCTAAATGTCGGAGAGGAGGAGGTGTATTTCGATATATTAAGAGTTTCATACCTAAGATTGACAATAAAATATTAAAATGTTACGTTATAAAATGTATTGTTTCCTATCGAAAATATCTTACTTGTGTGATTTTTCATTTTTATCCGACAATATACTGAAGTTATAAATCGAACTTTGCTTTGGTACTAAGCTTAGACCAGCGCCGTCTGGAACATTATAGTGCTGCAGAGTGTTTAGTTTCTTCCATTCGCTCTCCGTTTTAGACGTAACATCCTCGTCGTACAGAATTACTCTACCTGTAGCACCTGTACGCCACTCTAAATTAAAAATGTTGTATTACATATTATCGAAATAGAAATCGCTGTTAATCAAACAACTACAATTTTCATTGAATATTGTATTCATGGAAATATTTTACGGAACACTGACGTTTTAGACTCATCAATGAACATATATTTTTAAAATACCTTTCGTACATGATTTTTAACACATAAAGAACAAGAAAAGAAGCAAACTTTGCCAAAGTTTATATACCCTTGCAGTTGTTACAAAACGACTACATCTTGATTTCTATGCTTAAATTACTTAAAACAATGAAGCAGCATTTTGCCATCGTTTTTATGGCAGCTCTATGTTAGCTATATTGTTGTCCGATGACAAAGCGTAATTCTGATACAGTAAACAATTACTATATCTCAAAGAAAATTTGATAAATAGAAAAACATCAAAATACTAATTTTTTAATTGTCAATTTTCCTATGGGATCTATATGAATGATATAGATGTCCGATTTTAATTTTATTAAAACTAGTTTGTATAGTATATAAGTCAGAACGAGCCGGATCAGACGACTATATCATATAGCTCCCATAGGAACAATCGGAAAAAAGAATTCAAAAAAAATTATAGATTTGTTGTTTTTGATTATTTTTTTTGTTCTTTGGGATTTACTAATATTTAAATATTATGGAATTACGGTTTTAATTAAATTAAAATCGAACAATAATATCATATAGCTGCATTGAAACGATGGCAAAATGCAGCGCAAAATCGACGTAGCTCTTTGTTTCTAGTAATAAAGGCACAGAAATCGAAATGTAGTAGATTAGTGAGCGTTAGAGTGTGAGTGGCAATATTTTGAAATAAACTCGCGCTGCGTAAAGAAACGTAGAGTCTTCAGCTAAATCCCATATTCAAATCTCTAGCTCTTGTACTTTTCGAGATTTAACTTTTATACGGGCGAACAGACTGACGGACAAAGGTTAATCGACTCGGCTATTAATCTTCATCAAGAATATATTTACTTTATAGGGTCGAAAACGCTTCTTTCTACCTACTACAACCTTTCCAACAACTTTTAATCTGCGAGTGACGGATATAAAAGATTTTTATGATTTTATATTAACTTACCTAAATCCAAGTCATCTTTCCGAGGTCTTTGGCTTGATGGAATGTTTTTATAAATTGTTTCTAAACACTTCTCTTTTACTTGTCCAATTGTATCGCAGTCCAAAACTTTTACAGGTACGTTTTCGGTGTGAGAAGGCAACATATCTAAGTTGTTGCAAAATATTGGCTGCTGTATAATGCTTGCATAGACATTCATTGGTCGGAAATCAATGGACTGGCGTATAAGTTTTTCTTCACTAAGTGAGTATCTCGCCTCATGAGTGCAAGCGTCAACAGGACCCTTGTCTACTTGTCCTTTCACAGCGCGGAAAAGCATATATAAGGGCTCTCCAGCACACTCTTTTAAAAACTTGTAAAGAAGGAATGTAAACCAAGCACTTAACATTTTTTCTGCCACACTTTCTGTTCTTCGTAACAAAAGTTTCGGATGACTTTTTCCTTCTATGCATTTTTCAATCAAGTCTCCCAATAATGTTTTTAGTATATCTGTACAATATTCTAACTTTGATTGTAGTGTGACCATAATTAATGATGCAACGTTAACTCGTTCTCGCATAGAAAAGTATCGATTCGATTCTAAGGTTCGAATAAAAAGTAGCAGGAAAGTTTTATTCATAATAAGTTGACCAAAAATACGCAACCCTTTTTCTTTTCGGAGAAGCTCAGGTCGTTCCCATTGCAGCACAATGTGATCTTCGTTGTTGGGAAAAAGAATTTTCATTGCATATGATCGGTAATCCAAAAACGGAATGCCTCCAGACGTAAGATCTCCTGTGAGGTCAGTCATCTCCGTTTGAAGTTCGGCAAATGCTTCTTTACATTCAGCTGCGACACGCAGCTCTAAAATGTCCATCTGTTCCTGCATATTTCGAAGTACCCTGTTTGATTCAGAGCTTTTCTTTTTATATGCTACAAGCAAAGCAACAAAAATGAGGAGTAAGATGACAATTGTGGCTATTACAGCAAAAATTACATTTTCTCCCCAATCCAAAATTATGTTTGATGATTCGTAGCTGAGTATACCAATACGGTACTCCAGCGAAGTACCAATACGAACAATAACCTCGGGTCCATTTATGCTTTTAGTTGCCGTTGCTTCTGGAGGAGGTCTACATGTAAGTTGCTGTCTTGAAAGAGAAGTAATATTGCAAAATCCATTTCCAATTTTTACTTCCACGTCAGTCTCCTTGCAAGCGCGATCTAAGTTCCGACCATTTATTGTTAAATACTCGCTTTTGAAATACTTAACTCTTTCTTCAAATATGAAATACTCAGGATTTGGATAAAGTTCAAAATGGTTGTTATGAATTTTTGATAAATTTTGTACACGCAAAACATTATCCATTAGGAAGCCGTACTCCAGGAGCATTGGCCTCTCCGCTTCAATAATTTCGCTGTCTACTCCAATAACTGGAGATGCACATTCCATTTCTGTATCTGACTGGACTCGACATTGACTGGCAAATATCTCACCATTATATACTACGTAAATGTTTGGAGTTTGTATACTGGTAAATTGGGTACCAATAACGGAAATTCGAATGCCGCCAGCTGGTATTCCTTTCGGCACTTTTATTTGTCCACTTGGTCCTGAACTGACGTGTTCAACTGTAGGATCCAGAACATATTTAAAATTGTAATCATTGAATTCTCGGGGACCATTATCAAATGACATTTTTAGCCTTCCTTCAATGATACCAGGTGAAGGGGACGTACGGCATATAGCTTGTGTGGAACCGGTGCTTAGAATTTTGCAAGGTAAATGGTCATTTATGGACGCTTGTATGCGAGAACCGGCATTTAAATGCTTTCCAGTTATATGTATTTCAGTTCCACCCGAAGTTGGACCGAACTTTGGATTAAAATCCAGAATTTTAGGATCAACAAATTCATAGTCTTCCTTAGACTCACCGCGATAGTCCCCTATTTGTACGACTATTTTTCCATTTCTATACATTTGTTCCCCAGGGCTATCCACTGTACATACGATTTGCTTTGTGTCGATATAAAATTGCGGAAATGGCATACAATTTATGCCAGCTATTCGAACGCCCGAATAAATGTCATTATAATTTTTGCCTAAGTTTATACCACGTATTGTAATGTTTGTTCCTCCTTCCCAGGGACCCGTTTTGGGTTCAAAAGTATGAATCTCAGGGTTGGGACAAATTTCACTTCGATTTAGCCAATCGGTTTTTCCCTCTTTGTTCTTGTTACATTGTTCCTCAACTTCGCAGGTATTGGTAGAAGAACACCATCCGCAATTGTACTTTTCGGCTAGGGCCAAGCAAATACCACAACTGTCGGCCATTTCTCGACATCGATAAATAACAACTATAATACATAAAAATAAAAATATAAATTTATAAGGTGCGTGCTTTATAATCAAACTTACCATGTATGTTATGAGGATTATCTAGAGGCTTGGATCCGCCCCATATAACAGCGAAAGTGGCCGTCAAGTTGGGTGATCTTGAAGTATACTGAAATTCCATGCTATCGCAGTAAATTGTGTCTCCCAACAACTGGGCGTTTAAACTCGTTACACGTCCCTCAATATTAAATTGGCAAACGAATCGAGTTTGAACTATAAACTGCCCTATTATATGAACTTTAACTTTTATAGATTTGCTTGTGCCACCAGCCACAAGTACTTCACTTCCATCCCCTGTAGCGTTAATAGTTGGACAAAATCCAGGACCCGATCTATAACTTGGACCTATCCGGCTAACGCCTGTGACCAAAATATCATTGCGGCAATTCTCAGCAGTGTCGTGAGTGCAACGGTGAGCCTCAACACACCAATCACATGGAAACTCCGAGGACACACAACGTGTACAAGATGAGTGGGTACTGCAATCAAAGAACGTAAAATCCGTGGACACTAGGTCGGGTCCATTTCTGGTGCGCACAGATAGTTTTGCTGTGAAATGATGTTTTCCTTGTTCAATTTGGGGTAGCATATCTGTTCGCGGTGTTGTACAGTTCACGCCATTTCTCTTTTTCGTAGCATTAGTGAACAGCGCCTTATCCTCTGTGGTAAAAGCACATATTAAATTCTCCTTTAGTTGTGGCAAGTGATCTATGATAAGTTCCAAGGTTCGAGCGGTTGTGCGTTGCAACTGGTGTGGCACAACACTTGTTATTGTAGTGCATTTTCCAGTTTTATAGCTGACCCAGTAAAGAGGGTCGTTGGCGTCATCCTGGCAGTTTGAACGTGGGCTACATTTGTTCTCCAATGAGCACCAGCCACAATATGGATCTCTAGCTCCCAAGCACTCCCCACATGTCTTGTAATCGGTGCAATCAAAAACCTTAACTTTGGACACTTTAGTTTCGGACATGACATACATATAAAGATTTTGGTTGTCAAACTGCATGTCCTGATTTATTGCCGAACCCAAGTCCACAGAAAAACTGGCATATTCATTGGCAACGGATGAAGATTCGACGACAACTTTCTTAAGGTGTCCATCTGTCGTGCCCACAAAGACAACGGTATATCCGCTTGTGCTCGTAGCAGCAACTGATGTTAACTTTTTGTTAAACATGGCCACTGGCACTGAAGTAATGGGATTTTCTCCTCCTAAAGGCGAATTTACATCTAGTCCACAGAAATCTTCTCCAATAGTTTGCAGTTTCTAAAATTAATAAGTCGAGATTTTGTGACCAGCGCTTAAAATATAAGTTTAAACGTTTCGCGCCAGGATAAAATAAACAAATAAATTATACAAAACTATTAACAATAATATATCAAACACAAGAGAGAACGCTATAGTCGGGTGCCCCGACTATCAGATACCCGTTACTCAGGTAAAGGGAGTGCGAGGGAGATGGAGATAGAAACTTTGATCACGCATAACTTTTAAACGAATGGTCCGATTTGAAAAATTTCTTCTACATTTCGATAGGTATTGATAAACACAATAAAACTGCATTTTTACTTTTCCGAAATATTTAAATTTTTAAAATCGTATATTAGCGATTGTGGGCGTTAAAGGGGGCGTGGCACCTTTTTGAAACAAACTTGCGTAGGAACTCCTAGAATCTGCATGCAAAATGCCAATCTTCTAGCTTTTATAGTTTCCGAGATCTCAGCGTTCATACGGACGGACAGACGGACATGGCTATATCGACTCGGCTAGTGACCCTGATCAAGAATATATATACTTTATAGGGTCGGAAACGCTTCCTTCTAGCTGTTACATACTTTTGCACGAATACAATATACCCTTTTACTCTACGAGTAACGGGTATAATAATTTGTCTCAATTGACCTGTCGAAATCGAAAATAAAGGCGGACCCATTAATTAAAGTGCTTTGTACGATATAGGGATATATAGGGATATTTTGTTTACTTACCGTTAAAACACATGGCATACTGGGTGATATAAAGTCCAGTCCCCTCATCCCATTGCCGTTGAAACAGGATTTTATGTTTTGCATAAATTTTCGACGAATGGATTTTAAAGAGTAAATGCAGAGTGCAGAATTATTGGTTGGTGAGTTACCGTCGCCTTTTGAAAACACTGCAAAGAGGACATCATCCTGAATTGATATACCCAAGCTTTGAGCCAGATCTGAGCTGGGTTTACCCAAGTAACCGGCCTGAACTAAATTGAATTTAGTGCCGCCCTGAGCATCGCTAATACATTCGACTGGAATTTCAGTGTATGAATAATAGTTTGAATCTTCCTGGCATATTCGGACAAGTTTAGTTATATACTCCTTTGGTGAAGAATGGTGACTGTGCTTCAACTGTGTTGTAAGAAAGTATGAAAATCTCTCGGAACTGAATCCGTAAACATAGTTCACAAAGTATGTTTCCCGCGCGTAAGAATTAATAAAGGTTCTCGTTCCAGTCGTAACCGCCGAAGAAGCAATCTGAAACATCTTTGTCTTTTCAAGAGAGCGTGATGCAACTGCTGGTATTTCACTACGGTATGGTGAATTATTCGTATAAGTAACTCCAACGTACATAACATTTGTCACCGGATGCTGTGGAGGCCCTGGCGCTATAAATGCCACGGTTGAAGAATTGGCATCGTTTGCAACAACCGCATCAGGCACTTCATGCTCAATTATGCTGACATTCTGAAGATTACGTACTGTGCATGTTCCCTGGAATAGTGATCCACACGCAATTAATCGAGAAGTCGCACGATCTATGAGCAAGACCTTGTTATAATTATCTGTCGGGCTGCGAACAGCATTTAAGGGACAGTCGAGTATGCTGCACTCTACCGAATCATTTTGAGGTCCTGTTTTCACCGTTTCGGTGAGCTCCAAGTCGGGCGACAATTGATACAACCTGTTAACACCACCAACAAAGACTCGTCCAGTAATAGTATCTACTAAAAGGTGATTTAATTTCGTGTCAAACTTAGCTACATTTGTGATAGTAGTACTAAGGTTTTTTGCATCCTTTATTGTCACATTTGCGTCAGTCAAATTAATCGGTTCATTTTGATTAGCCGGCTTGTCTGACCAAATATTGGCTGCCAGTGTCTGAGAGCCTGTTCTCGAGTGCAACCAGTAGTCATGTTTATCTCCCAGAGTTGCTATTAGCAGCAAACTAAGAATTAAAATCATCTCCACTATCGCTCCTTCAAAAGGGCGATCGGATCCACTTAATGAATTTACAGTTTATTCGCAGTTTATTGTAAGTCCCTTTTCTATGAATCCAATAACTCAATATTTGGTTTAAATTGATAGCATTCATGCAATTTTTAATATCCGACTACTTTTATGTGGCCTTTATACATTTTCCAGTACGGCACTATATTTACAGAGTTGTGATAATTTATTTACTGATTTGATCTCCAACGTCATTGAATCTGAAAATTAAAGACAATTCAAAAGCAAATTAATTATAATTTATTACATTAATAGATTTTAGTAGGTTTTTCCCAAGCTTTTGTTCTCCTATCAAAACCATTATTCGAACTTTTTTTTTTTTTGGATATACAAACAACAGCCGGAGAGTGCAGACGTGTTTTGCGCGAGCTCCGGAAAAAAAACCGCTCAAAAGTGAAAAACAATAACTAAAACAAGAGAGAACGTTATAGTAGGGTGCCCCGACTATCAGATACCCGTTACTCAGGTAAAGGGAGTGCGAGGGAGATGGATATAGAAACTTTGATCATGCATAACTTTTTAACGAATGGTCCGATTTGAAAAATTTCTTCTACATTTCGATAGGTATTGATAAACACAATAAAACTGCATTTTTACTTTTCCGAAATATTTAAATTTTTAAAATCGTATATAAGCGATTGTGGGCGTTAAAGGGGGCGTGGCACCATTTTGAAACAAACTTGCGCTGCGTAGGAACTTCTAAAATCTACATGCAAAATGTCAATCTTCTAGCTTTTATAGTTTCCGAGATCTCAGCGTTCATACGGACAGACAGACGGACAGACGGAGAGACGGACAGACGGACAGACAGACGGACAGACGGACATGGCTAGATCGATTCGGCTAGTGATCCTGATCAAGAATATATATACTTTATAGGGTCGGAAACGCTTCCTTCTAGCTGTTACATACTTTTGCACGAATACAATATACCCTTTTACTCTACGAGTAACGGGTATAAATACTAGAGTGGTGTAATAAAGGCAATCTTATTGCTAAAAACAGTAAATAATAATTAGTGCTATGTAAAAAACTAGTGCAAAGTTATTATAAAAACTAAGAAGTGCCACGAGTGATAGCTCAATGAGCGGCGATTCAAAAAATGAGCGTAGAAGCTCCGTAGACCAGAGAAACAGTTATATTTCTTATTTCTCAACCCGTGATACAGAAGTAGAAAGAACTTCTTCAAAGAGCAACTCAGCCCTACTGACCATTGACAGTGCGAGAGCACGGTCTTGTTCTCCCGCCCTACTCACACCAACTCCCACTTCATGGAGCTTGCAGTGTAGAACCCCACCCCCAGCTTCGACTCACAGCTCACCAGCCACGAGCACTGCGACCTCGTTAATTTCTGCAACCGCAGCCACTGCAACAACAACATCAACGGTCGCCGTTAACAACAACGCGATTTCGAATGCGTTTGCAACTTCTGCAGCGCCGAATAAAACTACAAAGCCAAGTGTAAGTACGAGTGCCAATATCGGCAATATCAAACAACAACAAGTGGGTCCGGCTATACAGACTGGCATGGACCGTTACATCCAAATCAAACGGAAGCTAAGCCCGCAAAATAAAATGGTTGGAAATAAACCAAAACAAAATTGCCCTAATAAAGGCAGCGAACAACCAGGGGCATCTAGTAACAACAGATTCGCCCTATGGTCGGAAATTGATAATAATCAATCCGAATCTGGACAGGCTGTTCAAAAGAAACCAAAGCCCCCACCAATTTACATAAGGGAACAGAATTCAAATACCCTAGTAAAGAAAATTGTTGCGCTGGTCGGGAATGACAACTTTTATGTTACTCCCCTTGTTAAAGGGAATATTCATGAAACAAAGCTTCAAGCTAAAACTGAAGATCAATTCAGAGCTGTAACAAATTACCTAGACGAGGCTAGGAAACCCTACTACACGTACCAGCTCAAGAGTAGCAAGGGCTTGCAAGTAGTGCTAAAGGGCATAGAGCCCGACGTATCCACCAATGAGGTAAAAGAGGCACTGAAAGAAAAAGGATTCTTCTCCAAAAATATTATTAATATTATCAACAAAAATAAAAAGCCGCAACCACTCTTTAAGGTCGAACTGGAGCCTGAAAGCAGAGCCTTGAAGAAAAATGAAGTGCACCCGATCTATAAACTGCAATACCTGTTGCACAGAAGGATTACTGTTGAAGAACCGCATAAGCGGAATGGCCCGCTGCAATGCACAAACTGCCAAGAGTATGGACACACCAGAAAGAACTGCGGGCTTCGTTCAGTCTGCGTAGCTTGTGGTGGCTTCCACAAATCCGAACCTTGCCCTGCAAGCAAAGAAGACCCAAAGACAAAGAAATGCGCTAACTGTGGAGATAACCATACCGCAAACTACAGAGGCTGCCCGGTCTATAAAGAGCTGAAGAGTCAGTTTCAACAAGCAAAACAAGCACGCTCCCAGAATGCACGAAATGCGTACATGCAATCCCAAACCACACCTAATGTTTTCTTTGCGAAAGCAGCCAGATCTTCATTTGGGCCCCTCAACACAAATGGGGGAGTTTCATACGCCAGTGCCCTAAAATCAGGACTTGCCAATCAGACGGGGTTCCCACAAGCTCAATGCTCTGAGCAAAATATAATAACACCTCAGCAAGCAATAGGACAAATACCAAACAGCATGGAAACCATGATGCTGACTTTACAACAGGGTATGATGGAATTTATGTCCTTCATGAAAACAACAATGACAAACCTTATGCAAAATCAAAACATTTTAATAAATTTGCTCACATCCCAACAATCTAAATAATCGATGTCTTGTCTTCGAATATCCATGTGGAATGCCAATGGCGTTTCACGGCACAAACTTGAAATAACTCAATTCCTCAATGAAAACCAAATAGATGTAATGCTGCTGGCAGAAACGCATCTCACAAGTAAATACAACTTCCAAATAAGAGGTTATACTTCATACTGCACAGATCATCCGGACGGTAAGGCTCACGGAGGAACTGGAATCCTAATCAGGGAACGCATTAAGCACCACTTTCACCAGAGGTTTGCAACAAATTATTTGCAGGCTACATCTATAAAACTACAAGCAGGCAACGGCAGTATCACTATAGCCGCTGTCTATTGCCCACCGCGTTTTACAATAACTGAAGAGCAATTCTTGGACTTCTACAATTCACTCGGAGATCGCTTTATAGCAGGAGGAGACTAGAACGCCAAGCACACGCACTGGGGATCAAGACTAGTGACGCCCAAAGGAAGACAACTGTATAAAGCAATCATAAATTTGAGCAAAAAACTCGACTATGTCTCCCCAGGCAGCCCCACATATTGGCCAGCTGACCCCAGAAAACTCCCGGACTTAATTGACTTCGCTGTGACCAAGAACATCCCAAGAAATGTAGTGAGCGCCAAATCGCTATCGGACTTATCATCGGACCACTCGCCTGTTTTAATAACTTTCCTTCAAAGCCCGAAAGTAATCGAGCACCCCTTCAGGCTGACCTCGACTAGAACCAACTGGCTAAAGTACAAAAAGTACGTAACTGGTTCGGGAAAAACGACGTCTACGACGCGTTTGGCAATCCTGCAGATCGCCCCATTCGAAGCAACTCTATAATGATGCCACCCGCAGACTCACCAAAACCCTCAAGCAAGAAGAGGAGCTTGCGCAGCGTTGGTACATCGAGAAACTGTCGCCGACCAGTACAAAGCATCCTTTGTGGAGAGCTCACCCAAATTTAAGCTCTCCGATAGAATCAGTCACTCCGATTAAAACTCCTCGGGTACTTGGGCCCGCAGTGACGAAGACAGAGCCGAAACATTTGCTTTACACCTACGAAATGTATTTCAGCCGAACGCCGCCACAAACTCTCTTCAACTACCGCCGTTTAGCTCTGAAATTGCAATTAACCCGATTTTGTTTCAAACACCTGAAATTGCTAACGTCATTAGGAAGCAAATAAAACCGAAAAAGGCTCCAGGGGCCGACCTAATAACCCCAAAAATGATAATTGAACTTCCAAACTGCGCAGTGGATGTTATATGCAAGCTATTTAACGGGATCGCAAAACTTGGCTACTACCCCAAAAAAAGGAAAAAGTCCGTGGTTATAATGATACCGAAGCCTGGCAAAGACCACACAATTCCCTCATCGTACAGGCCAATAAGCTTACTATCGTGCCTGTCCAAATTACTGGAAAAATGCCTGCTCACGCGCATATTTAAGAGAACAAAACTTAATCCCGGCACATCAATTCGGGTTTCGTGAAAGCCACGGAACCATCGAGCAAGTCAACCGGATAACTTCAGAAATTCGTACAGCCTTCGAACATCGGGAATATTGTAGTGCGATATTCCTCGACGTCTCTCAGGCATTCGACCGAGTGTGGCTTGAAGGCCTTATGCATAAAATCATAACATTACTGCCAGAAAACACTCATAAGTTACTTAAGTCGTACCTCTACCACAGAGTCTTTGAGGTTAGATGCAATACAACGACATCCAACGAGTATAACATTGAAGCCGGAGTCCCACAAGGTAGCGCCCTGGGCCCTACCCTGTTTATCCTATACACAGCAGACATCCCTACGAACGAGAGGCTGACTAGACCGCAATCCTGAGCCGCTCGAGATGCCCAACTAGAGCAACAGCTCAACTGGCTGATCATTTGGTGGTAGTTGAAAAGTGGCTATCAGACTGGCGAATCAAAATTAATGAACAAAAGTGTAAACATATAACGTTTACCCTTAACAGACAATCGTGCCCGCCGCTAACTTTGAATGGTACGCAGATTCCCCAAGCCAGCGATGTAACATATCTCGGCGTCCACCTCGACAGACGCCTAACCTGGCGGAGGCACATTGAATGCAAGAAAGTACATCTCAGACTTAAAGCTAGCAGCCTACACTGGATTATAAATTCTCGATCACCCCTGTGTCTGGACTTTAAAGTTCTTCTCTACAACTCCACCCTCAAGCCCATTTGGACCTACGGCTCCCAGCTCTGGGGGAACGCGAGCAACAGCAACGTTGACATCATACAGCGCTCACAATCAAAAATCCTGCGAACAATCACTGGGGCACCATGGTATGTTCGGAACGAAAACATCCACAGGGATCTGGGCATACCACCGGTCAAAGATGAAATAGCAAAGCAGAAAGCGGCCTACCATAACAAGCTTACACTGCACCCAAATAATCTCGCAAGGA